ATGTCGTTTTGCTTCAAAATGTTCCGTTAGCTTTTCCGTTAGCTGTTTGTATGTTTGCTCATGTAATTGAGCCCTTCCAAAGAGATTTTTCAGCAATTCAAAAATTTCTGTGCCAGTCCAGGCAAGAGAAAATGACTTTTGCTTTTCCGCACAATTTACACTATATGCACTAAAATGTTGTTGCAGCTGCTCTAAGTAAGACTCCCAAGTCAGTTGTTCCTTAGAGAGAGAAACTGTGAAACGATGGTACAATGGTTTGACCACCTGCACCACCAGCATGAGTTTGAAGGATGGATTGCATCCACTGGTGTTGCTGCTTCAGCAAATTTTTCGTGAACTCTTGTTGTTCGAGTAATAGTTTTTGAATTATTTCACTTTCGTTCACCATTATTACAAGAATGCGAGACACGAATTGAAGAACTTCATTGCACTACCGCAACGCGTTTTTTTCCTTGTACATATGTATATCTTTTTTAAACCTCGTCGCCAGTGTAAAATATGAGACCGACGCGTAAGCTAGCAAAAACTCAACTGTTTATTCCGATTAAGAGTCGACCTTGTTTCATACAATACACGCAGGGTTGCATAACCAATAATAGTAAATAGTAGTACATTTCATTTCAACTATCGATTACTGATTCCATTTCATTATTAGTTACATATAAATATCGATTATTTAATGATTGAATAATTCAATGTATGCATTTAATTATGGATTATAACAGTAAACGTTTAATTTGTTTTTGCTCCAAAATTGCTACAAAATTACTATTAAAATAAATGTATTTACGCATTTCAAATTGTGATTGTTTTTATTTAATTTTCTGTCTTTATTTGAAAGTCTGTTTTTCGATTGCCAGATGAATTACATTTGTTCAAAAATTATATTTGAGTGGCATATTTGTAGAGATTTTATGAAAAAATTAATTGGTAGCATGATTCTCTCACGGCTCTCTTTGCACTTAGAAATTTAACTTGGAAATCAAAAATCTATAGTACTCCAAGTTTCTAAGTGAAGCTGGTTTTTTGGGTAACTACATATACATGCTGCTCATTTGCCAGACATACAATTTTCATGACAAGTCAAGTCTAAGTCTTGCTTAACTCAGCTTTAAGGGAGTTAAGGGAGTGTCAAAACTCTAATGCCACTAGTGAGTAAACCTTTAATTACTGAATCATGCTTTATACTTACGATTGGATTTTTTCAGCCAACCCGCTCGCGAAATATTTGTTAACAAGTTAAATTTCATACAAAATGCACTATTCGGGTCTTAGACTTATGCTTGAAATAATTCATTTAAATATATTTAACTCACTGAAAAAAGCACTTATTTTTTCATTTTTATTTTTATTTGTCACTCATAAACTTCAAACGTAAAATATATGAGGCGTTCTTTTTCATATCGAACACCAAATTTGAGTTCACACTTACGATTCGCTTCAAATTTTTGTTATGGGTTCTTATCATCGTATAAGCTTACAAGTATGGAAAGCGCCATTTTGTTTGTTTACATTTGAAAACAGCTGAGATCACCTGATTTTCAATTCTCTCATTCTCCGCACAGAGTTACATTCAAGTTTCAGAAAAAACTTTAAAATGTAAATTGAGAAATATTTTAGAAAAAATGTGTTTTTATTCATTTGAATTCAATAAAAAAGAAATTAAAAATGCGTGCCAAGTCTTGCATTTCCAATAATAACGATAAATATGTATGTTCCAGGCAATAATTTAAAATATTTGTGAAACTTATCGTTTTGCGCTAAAATACAACAATGTGTGTAAAATTCATTGTCATTGCTTCTGTTTTGAATATCATATTCGTGCCTGCCGGTGGAAAAATAGGTAAATTTGCATTTATTTTCAAGAAAACATATCAGTTAAAATATATTTCTTTCCAGAGCGACATACGGACAAGTAAGATGATAAATTTGTATGATGAATATCGCGGAAAAAACTTTTGTATCAAAATTTCTATTCTAATTTGCATTTGAATTATGATATCAACAGGGATGATTTAGGACGTATTTTTTGAAGACAATTTTCTTATAAATATTGAGATTGTTGATTTATTTTAGAATTAAAAAAGGTAGTTTATATTAAAAAATATATTTACACTAGCAGTATGTAAATTACTTTTATTCCGAATTGAAACGATTTTAATGAATATTCATGGTTACCATTAATAGTAGCATGACAGTTAGATCTAAATGCATATTTGACAAGAAAGATAGAATACAAGATTGCGCCGTCCTGGCGGCGATGACATATCTGTACAAAAAGTAACAAAAGTCGAATTGGATGTTGAAAGAAAATGTGAGAACAGCAAATTTTCTTAATAATAAATTTTTCGATAAGGAACGTGTTTTGATTGTGCTAATTTGTAATAGCCTTATTCATAAACAATAAAGTAGCTTAAAAAAGGCTTATAAATTGAAAAATGTTTGTAAACGGCAATTTAAAAAGCTTTTTAAAATTTTTATTTTTTATTAATAAGGCAATAAAAATATGTGATTTACAATAACTTTTAACAAAGGAAATACGAAATAAGGTGATTTTTGCGGAAGTGGGTATTAGTGAATTTCAGTGCATTTAAAGTTTCTGAGGTTTCGTTTACCTTTAGATCAGAATTGTCAAAATTGAGAAATTCAAAGTAGCGATACAATAATCATAGAAAAGAAGATTGCGCCCTGCTGTGATGATGAGTAAATTTACCACAATGAGGAAGAATATAACAATTAAGTGAAAAAATTTTATTTTTACAAATTTAGTGAGCAGTAACGCGTTTCAAGAACGATATTTCAGACAAATCGTAAATGAACAACTATTTTTCCTTCCCGTCTGCTTTGGTTTTGGCAAAAAAGTTGATAAGCTCCTGACGGCGATCAAGTCATTTCAACCATAAAATAATATTATTTGCAAGAACCATTCACTAAAATTTTAACTAACTTTTTATTATTTATTAATTCCTTTTTGATATTCAGCAATAACAAGATGGAAAAAAATTATAAACCAAAATTAGTAATATTTTTATGAATGTAGCTATAAAAGTTCACAGAGGAAACGCCAGAAAACAATGTATTGGCAACAACATAAAATTTATGGCAGTTTAGATGTCAACAGAATAATAACTACGATAAAAAAGCATGAAAGAAGTGTGCGAGAAACGGTCAACAAATTTCTTATAAAATATTTTGATTTTTGCTGGGTGTAAATGAAAACTCAATGAGTATTAAGGAAAAGAAAAATTTGAAAATAATAAACAGAAAAAGAGATGGGTGCACAAAAACTTTAGTTAAATGTTTTTCCCAAATTCTTAAAAAGTAAGCAAATCGATTTTTTTAATGTTACTTTACATCTATTTTCTTTTTTATGAATAAGGTCATAAGCATGTACCGTTTTTATAAATAAATCTTATAGCAATATGCTATATATTTATTTATATACTTTTTGGCTGGCGAAATATGTAATTTTTCAACTTAATAGAAAAGCGTATTTAACCAAATTACTTTTTTTTAATATTGTATGGCGCAACACAACAACTCTTTTTGTTGCACGAAACCCTTGAACACGTGCTTGTCATCTATTTCTTCTGTTTCGACATTTCGGTATTTTGCATTTCTTTCATTTTGACGTTATTCGCATTGTCAGATTTTTGAAATTCGTTTTGGTTCGAAATTCTGCTATTTCATAATTCTCTCATTCTCATGTCATCCATCTTCCATTTCTTACCTTCCATTGCCGTTCGCATCGTCGAACGTGCCTGTCAAACACTGCCGCCATCATGCTTTTCAGTTTGGCAGGCACGTCCGCTGTTTGGCAGGCACGTCCGCTGTTAGAAAGAGATTAGACAAAAAGGGGCATAGGATTCCATACTTGTAAGTATATACGATGGTTCTTATTAACGTCGTTTTAAATCTAAACAAGCTCAATATTTCTAACTTAGCTATTAACAGTTAAACTTTTTGAAGTTGATTTGCATAGTGAAGACCAGTAAATTATTGAATTATTGATTTAAAATTACACCATCGTAACCCTTGTTTTTTCTATAAAAATCATGGTTAAAAAATTGGCGTATTTCAAGAGCTATTTTCAAAATATTTTTTTTTTTTATGATGAGATGGTTTATTTTTCGAAAGTTTATGATGAGATATACATATTTAGCAAGGTGTTAAAAAACGAGTTTTTGCAAAAATTTAAATTTTATTGCAGATTCCGATAGAAGTCCTATCCGGAATTAATATTTGTATGGCATTATTTTTCTTTAAGGCGAAAAACACCTACAAATGGGCGTGGCAATTGCAGGACTAAAGTAGGCAAATCGAAGATTATATTGCGGATTTTGGCAGAACATCCCTTTGTTAACAGCATTTGTCCCACACTTTTTTCATTCAAAAAAAAAGTCTTCTAGAAACGGGCGTAGCAATTTTAAAACCAACAAACAAGTAATTTTAAATCCCTAATTTACTGGTCTTCACTATACAAATAAACTTCAGACAGTTAAACTGTTAATAGCGAAGTTTGCTTTAGGACGATCATAACCATCTTATATATAGAAATGCTACGCCAGTTTCTTCAGCTTTAAAACGATATTAAGATGAAGTCTCGTCGAATACGCGTTAGCTTATTTCATGTATAGAACCCATAAAAAAATATGAAGCGAATCGGAGACATGAGATAATTTTTTTACGAAATCCGTCCGACTTAAAAAAGAATGGCTCATATGCTTAGTAAATTGAAAGAAAAAACTCAGTAAAGCTAAAATATCTAATTGGGGGTAATATGGACCAGGTAGTACATATAACCATATACATTTTTATTTTTTATAATCATTTAAAATTAGAAAGAAATATTTGTTTATTATCGCTCTCTAGAAAATGCATTCAGGTCGTTTAAAATTCGTTTCATGCCCTTGTAGTTTAGATTTATGAAGGTTTCACTTCTAGATAGTATTGTGTTACTATCTAAAATAAATAACTTAAAACATTGCTTTAAACCATAGGAATCGATCTAACCAGCGATGGATGAAGCTCAGAACAACCGTTCAGATATCTTCAGCGATACAGAAGAAACCGCCTTTAAAACGCGAGGACTCTTTTTTAAAGCGTTTTTCAACGCGGCAAATACCAGAAGCACAGGTAAAATTAGCCAAAGATTCCAAAATTTTGTTTTAGTATTCATATAAACTAAATATAAACTAAAACAAATTAGTATACATATGCATACATACGAATACAAAAAATATTGCCTTAGGTATGTACTAAGCCGTATCAGTATACGCATATGAAAGAAAAAAAAGTTGAGTGCGTGTTAGTTTTATTTGAACACTTGTCGGAAAAAATTTGATATAACATTCTTAGTTAATAGCCGATTTTTAAATCTTTATGTCACCGAAATGGCCTTGGCCAGGCATATAATTGGACCTCAAACAATTTTGGTTTTAACAGCCGTTTTCATTTATACATACGTTCACCAGTTTTAGAACTACGATCCCTAATTTTTTATTTTTGTACTATAAATCTAAAGCCCCCAAAACGACTTTGCTAAAAGAAGTGCTAGGCTTTATTCACAAACAAAAAAGTTAAAATGTTTTTAAAATCCAGCAAAACCCATCACTTAGCAACTGCTAACTCTTTCGCTTTGATGAATAATTATGTTAAGTCCTCTCGTGATTCGAGTACGCTGTATCTAGACTTGCCAACCGTCCTCCTTTGCAACGAAATATCCTCCATCCTCCCCAAAGAGTAAAAAGTCCTCCCGAGCGCACTTGCGTACAAGGGTATTATAACCAGGCACCGTAAAAGTTATAAGTTCTACAGCAAAAATAAGTTTTATTCAGCACTAGATCGCCCTCACCCGCTTCGCTGAGTGTATGAAATTTAAAAATTTATTTCAAGAAAACTTAATTAAAAAACAGGGTGTTTTAAATTTTTGGACCATCTTGTCATACTTTTTCAATTAACTTATACCCTGAACTGAATTTGAGATTTTAAACAGATGAAAACCCATTACATGTAGTTTTGAAATGAAGCCCTTTAAAAACTATTTCGATTGATACCCATATTGTAATAATTCATTTAAATTATTGAATAGTTTGAATTTACCATTTTAAACAGTTGATAGCCTATGTGATACATACTGTGATACATATTCAAAACCATTTCGATTCATACCAATCTTCTATACTAACACATATATATTGAAAGCCGTTTTTTATGTGTTCGCAAATCTCGAGAACGGCCGAACCGATTTTTTTTTTTAAATTTCATTTTGATGTTTCAGACGTCCCAAGGATGGTTATAGGCTAAAACAAAATTCGATATATAAAGGGGGCGTAGCACCTCCCATACAAACAGATTTTTTCATACTTCGTATCTGTGTAAGTGTTCATGGTAGAATACTGGAACTTGGTACTGTGATATATGAAATCAATCTTATACTCCTGGAAAAAATAGGCTACATACGCATACTCATGGAGAAAAATTGGGATTATTGGAAAAGGGAGCGTGGTACCTCCCATTGGGAAAAGGGACGTGGCACCTCCTATGCAAGCCGAATTTTTCATACTGCATATCTCTGGAAGTGTTCGTGGTAGAATACCGGAACTTGGTACGGCGACATATGAAATCAATCTTATACTCATGGAGAAAAATGGGCTATTTGAAAAGAGGACGTGGCACCGTACAAACGTATATATATAATCCTTTTGTGCGTTTGTTAGTGAAATCCTCCTAAATTCCCGGACCGATTTTAACGAAGTTTTTTGGGTGCTTTGGAGTGGGTCTCTGGAAGGTGTAGTTTCACTATTTCACCCACCAGTTGGCGCTGGAGTTAAGTTATTACTAAAAATCCTATTTATGATCCACTTTGGCTAATATGCAAGATATGTATTGGTAACGATAAAGGTAATACTATTGCCAAAATGGCTGCCAGGTGGCGTTGCAGTCATTACGAATAATCGCCAAGTTGTACCATTGAGTATATCGAACTCTTGTGTGTTACGATTGGCCCAACGGATGTGATTACGCGTTAAAGCATCATTCGTGTCGACCGCTGTGGTGTAGTGGTAAGTAGTGCGCGCTTTCACTCACCAGCACCTGGGTTCAAGCCCTGGTCAAAGCAACATCGCAAAAAATAAAAAAAAAGGTTTTTTCTTAACAGCGGTCGTCCCTCGGCAGGCAATGGCAAACCTCCGAGTGTATTTCTGCCATGAAAAACAGCTTCTCATAAAAATACAATCGCCGTTCGGAGTCGGCATACAACTGTAGGTTCCTCCGCTTTGTGTGACAACATCAAGGCGCACGCCACAAGTCGGAGGAGAAGCTCGGTCAAACACTAACATATGTGTAAGCGCCAATCTATTATTATTATTATTATTATTAAAGCTTCATTCGTAGACACCAGGGTTGAGTTGTGGAAGGATAAATCTCAAATCACTACCGATATCTCTACTGCGAGAACCGTTGCGCGCCTTTTACTGTAATATTTAATTTTAAATTACTTTTAAAAAAGGTGGCAACCCTTGTGAGGACTTAAATATTATTCAAAACGTTCGAACCAAAAGTTTCTTAACAATATTTTGTTAGACAACCATATTTTTTTCCTTCAGATAGCTTGCGTATAATTAATTTAAATTTGACTTTTCAAACAGGTGGCTTTGTTAAGCCTTCCTTTGACTTCCATTTTTTAATATAATTTTTAAATAAATAGCTCCCTTAATTGAAGTTGAATTTGATTTTTTTTAAAGGTTGCAGCCCTCATCCATGAGTAGATAATGATTTTACCAATGATCCATACCAAGTTTTAGTAACCTATTAAAAATATTTCCTACACGGTTAAAAATTTCGGTTTTAATTTTAAACTCTTTGGACTACATATATGACCAAACTAAATTCAGTTTCAAATACAAACCTTCCAAGTTTATAAAAAAGAGAGCACATATGTTGGGTTTAGAATTTAAACAATTCGGTTTAAATGTTAAACCCAAACATTTTCATAATTAAGAATAAAAAAAAAAAAAACAATCTTAAATTTCATGCTCCGTCTGGTTGGGATTGAACCCGGACAGCCTTGGTAGCAACCAATTGTATCAAGCATCTTTGCACACTCAGCTACAGCCACGCATGTAAATGTGCTTTCATATGTTGAGTTTGAATCAACACCACAATTCGCTGTGCAAACATATTCTCTTTCGGTTTAGATTTTAAACCAAAGTTTCTATATTTGAAACCTAGAAACTAGAATTAAAACATTTTGGTTTGATTTTTAAACCACGAACTCTTTGGGCTAAAATTTAAACCAGAATATATTAAAAATTGCGTAAAACTATTGACTGGTTTAAAAAGTAGACTATAAAAGTTTAAAAAAGGCAGTAGTCCCAGCGCGGTTTAAAAACTAAACCCAAATTTTTGACCGTGCATACGTTTATAAATAAACATGTACACGACACATTTACAAAACCGGCACTCAAGTACACAATACATTGACAAAAACAGTACTAGACTGTCTCGCTTTGATTTCGGAATGCTTACACATTGAGATGTTAGCTTACTATCAATATAGAAGTATTACATATATGTTTTTGACGCTTCCTTCTCAATGATTTTTTACCAACAATTTTAAATCAATAACTGATATTTTCGGTCCCTGATTATAACTTTGTTCACGTAGCGGTTGTTTATAACAGCCAAAAGGAATCGAGATAATATGTATAGACAAATTTTTTCATAAATGCTCAGAATGAAAAAAGAAATGGATTAGGCGGTGACTGTCTGTTCGTCCATACGTGTATACGATAACTCGAGCAAAAGTTGAGATATCTCAACGATATTTGGTATGCGAGTTTCCCTTTATCCAAATGGGCGAAATCGGACTGTAACCACGCCCACTTCCCATATAACTAAGGTACCATCCGTTCTGTTTTTGGCAGGACCGTACTGTTCAAAGGTCTGTCCTGCGTAGTTTATCAAAATAGAAAAACCTGTAAATGGAATGTTTTTTCCAAGTGTCCTGCATTTATCCCGCGTCTCATTCGATATTTTAAAATTAACCGCGGTAGCCCTTTATTGATCAAAATATAATTAGCGTCGATAACTGATTGATAACTGCTTGAGAGTGAGGCTGATTTTGAAGCTTCAACCCGTAAATGCGTTCTAAATTTTGTTCGGTCACTGAAAATCGGTGACGAGAAAATGAAGACCAGCATCAAAAATACCTGTAACACTGCTCTACAAATATTGAGTTATCGCGTGAATCTAAGAAATAAACGTTTTCCAAGATAATTTTGATTCGCTGAACACGTCAGTACCCTCAATACCCAATTTTCCTTCTTTTCAAAGAAGCGTTTTCGAGATTTTTTTACTCTCATGTAGTTATCAATCATTCTGTAGGTCATTTAAGTCGATTCAAAAGATATTGACGAATAACTGCGAAAAGTACCAAAAAACACGTTTTTCGTAAATATCTCGAAAACGCTTCTTCGAAGAAATGGGTGTTGTTTTCGTGTTCAACGACTCAATAGTAGGGGAGCCCAAGAGAGGATTCGGGGATTTACTCGAGCGCGTCAGATTAACATATGGGGGACACCCTGCACCCTGTTGAGTACCTCTGTCAAATCTAAGCCATCTCTGTAGAGGAGCGACGTGTTTGTTGTGATTTTGACAAGATCGGAATGCTTTTTTTCAGTGCTGCCAATCTTAATTTTTATACTGCTATTCGTTGGGAAATAATATCTAAAATACTCCACTTTAGTAATTCGTTTTATCGCGATTTTTAAAGAACTTGGTGTTTTCAGAACAATATTAATATTTAAAATTGCTGAGTTTGTATAATTTTTGTCCTCAAAAAGTAAAAAAATAAAAGATATCGTGGTTATCAATGGAAAAGACGTACACAAAAATCGTATGGAAAGGCGATTTTTTATATTAAATAACTTTTGCTGCATTGTCATAATATTGAGCCAAATGAACTACTGATACACTAGAATTGAGTGACTGCATGGTTAAATTAGGAATTCGCTTATATTATCGATATTTATGTGTTTTAATATGTAGATTATATTTCAAAATCATTTACAGTATTATGGGAAATTTCCTTATTTTACGGCCTTTACTTTATTAAATTGCAATATATGCCGATACAGACATATATTCAGGCTTATAAGCCTGTAATTATA